GGATGCATCACCTCAGCAAGTGGGCAGTGTCTCCCTGCAATTGGACTAGAAATGAAAGATAATCTCAGAAAAACACACAAGTGTCTTTTTTTGGGTTCAAACTTTTTGGGCTGAATGCTCCACTATCTAGACTAATACTCTTATGAGTCAAGTTAAAAGTATCAAAGTATCTGTTCAGTTTTCTGGACACTCTCAAGTTCTGGCAAGGTCTTTCTACATGATGTATTGTCAGCTCTGGTAAGGCACCATAACTCAAGGGAGAGAATTCAGGAACTTTGATTTTAGCATCCTCTTTAAGTCTTCTGCAGGGCTTTCTGCCATCTCTAGGGTCACAGTGAGTAATGCCCTAGGGTATGATGGAAAACTGTACTTGGAAATCCATTGCTAAAGAGGAAGAACTTTAACTCTTTTGTGTTTTATACCTTTTGTCTTGTCCTTGGCACGAGGAAAGGCCAAGTCACTGGGTGGTGCACTCGGGTCTCTGCTTGTGCTGCAGCGAAGCGCAGCGGGTTTTCTGTCGGCTCAGCTAGAGGTCAGCGCCCACTGCCGGTACTTCCACTTCCTTCACTCTGTGTTTGCTTCTGAACAAGGGTGGGGGTGACTGTGGGGGCGAGAAGGAGCTGGAAAGGCCACTGAGGACAGGACTGTGCTGTTTCAGTGGAAGTTTTATGGTCACAGGGCAGACATGTATCAGCATGTCAACTTGCACGTGTTGGAGAATACAGCACTTCTCACTTGAGCCCTACTGCCACCCAGGGAGAAAGACACGGTGCACACTCCAATTTATACTTGAGGAAACGTCAGTCCAAGGAGGTTAAGTGACTAGCCCATAATCACACATACTGAATACCAGCAATGGAACATAGACACCATTCTTCTGGCTCTAAATCTTTTTTGCTTTTTCTTATGCATGTCATGACCACCAATCTCTAAAAGTCCTTTTCCTATTCTCTAGTTCGATCACAGTTTGCCATATGGCAGGATGTTCTAATGCAAAGTTGTTTGAACTACTCTTCTCTCCTATAATGTATTAGCAGAATAACAATTCATTCAAGAAATATTTATTGATCAGTAAAAATATCTGCACTCAGGAAGCTTACAGTCTATGGAAGGAGACAAATAATAAACAAAATAAACAAGTAAAGCATATAGCATGCTAGATGGTGATGGTGGCGATGGAGAAAAATAAAGCAGGAGGTGCGGACAGGGAGTGTTTGTCAGAGGAAAGGCCCCATGGGCCATAGGGTATCTGTGGGAAGAACATTCCGTGCAGAGAGTACAGTTGACCCTTGAACCCCCACAGAGTAGAGAATCCATGTGTAAATTTTGACTCTCCCCAAATTTAAAAACTTAACTACTATGCAAGTACATTGTGTAATTTCTCCCAGGTTGGGGCGAGCTTTGAGTTCAACAGGTGGGGGCAGGGGGGGGGTGCCGCTTACTTAAATAGTAATTAAGTAGTTCACTATTTAACTACTAATAGCCTACTGTTAGGTAGGCTATTTAATTCTTTGATTTGCTGTTATGCTTTTAAGACATACCTAAGCAAAAATTTTCCAGTATATTTATTGAAAAAAATCCAAGTGTAAGTAGACCTATGCAGTTCAAACTCCTGTTGTTCAAGGGTTTGCTGTAAGTACCAAGGCCCTGAGGTGAAAGTATGTCTGGAATATTGGTGAAACAGCAGGGAAGCCAGTGATCAGGAGAGAAAGTAGCAGGGAATGATTTAGAGAGTATTAGAAAGCTCCATCGTGTAGAGCCTATAGCCCATGTAAAGACTTTGGCTTCAGCCTGGAGAAGACCGTGCTGCCTCCAGAAGCCCCCCAGACCCCCTAGCTGGGGTAGAGGGGACTGAGGGCCAGTCCAGCTCTGCCACACGCACCTCCATCCTCCCACCATTCTCCTCCCTCCCCCTCCCACTGCTCTGCAGCAACATCCTAGAATGTAAAATAATAATAACAATTAATTAATTATTTTTTTTAAAAGATACTTGATGAAAGAGAGAAAAAACTTTGGCCTCTATTCTCAGTGAGATGGGAAGTATTTGGAAATTTTGTGCAGAAAAATGATGATTTGACTCGACATATTTTAGAACAGTTATGTTTAGAATAGACTGAAAGAGGGAGATAGCAGAAGCTGGAAGATTAATTCGAAAGCTATTTTTTAAAAAAAGTAAAGTTATGGCAACAGTCTAGTAGAAAGATAATGATGGCTTGGGCCAGGTGGTAGGATAAGAGGTGGGAGTTGGATTCTGAATATACTGACGGGGCAAACAGGAAAAGCTGACAAATAGGATGTGTGATGAATCACAGGATGGGTGGAAGGACAGAAGCCTGGGACTGAGTTGCAGTCCCAGCCCCATCACACATGTGTTGATTAAAATGATCGGAGACGCAAAGGAAGACACAGCAGACGAGATGCAGGTGAAGAGCGGGGGGCTACTGCTCTCTCAGGCAAGTAGCACTGACCCAGCTGCTGTTACAGCTTTTATTACATTTAGCAAACTTGTGCATGCAAGATAAGCATTAATGCATAAATTCTGTTATACTTTTCTCAAGAGCAGAAGGCCGTTACCTCCCTTCTCAAGCACTTGGTTATCTATAATGCGCCTCCTGGGAACATCCCAAGAAAGTGTTCTCACAACTTCAAGCGTTCTCAAGGATTGTTTGCAATCCTTGACATTTCTTGGTTAACTCGTTTGCGAGTTCAGCAAGTGAACACGTCCTTGGGTGCTGACCACAGAAGTCCATTAACCATTTCCTTCACACATGTACAGTGCTACCTGAAGAAAGTCACTGAAAAGCATGAAGCCTCATTTTTCACACCTACAAAAATGAGATTAAATACCTTCCCAACCTTAGAAGGTTCAAATGATTATGCAAATTCTGTCTTGCTTGGATCGGATGGTAGCACTATGTGACCTTGTGCAAGAGAATTAGCCTACACAACTGTGGGAGGAGGCTGAGATCAAATCTGAAACATTTTGAGAACAAATTAAAAAAATTTTTAAAGTTAGAAAAAGTTAAATCTACCTTTTTAATAAGCTAGGAATAACCATAGAGGAAAGTTGATTCAAGAAAATTGTTTTAACCAAAGCCTTATGATCCCTAGTAGTAATATGAATTCTGTATTCTTTAAACCTGGATTTATGAATTGTTATTAGTCAATGGTTAATGAATACCTACCAAAAAAATCCTCATCTTCAGTTTCAGTTTTAGTTAAGCACAAAAGGCTTCTTTTGTTTTCCCCTGTCTCTGAGCATGTTTACCACCACCCTGGAATTTTTCTAAGTTTTTACTAAGAGAAATATGTGATGGAATTATTCTAAGTGACTCAAAAGTTTACAACTTTCCCAATTTTGCTTAAATATGCAAAGCCTGACCTACCACTTTGCAAAAAAGCACCTGTAATTGAAAGTTGAAGTGTGGGAGGTCTAGTGAGCCCCTCCCAGGGTGGAGAGGGCAGGAGTGACGGGGAAGGGGCAGGACCGTGGGGCTCCACGCTGACCCGCCTTCTCTGACAGAGGGGCACACTCGGAACTGCCCCTTCTTTTTCCTCTCTTTACTTCTCTCTCACCCTCCCAAGTCTTCTCTGTCAAACATATCTATGTAGGTCCAAATCTCTCAATATCCTGAAAGGTAACTGATAAACCATTTGTATTAGTCTGTTTCTGTTGCTCATAACAAAATACATGGAACTGGGTATTTTATAAAGAAAACAAAATTTATTGCCATAGTTTCTGAGGCTGGGAGGTCCAAAGTCCAGGGAACACAGCAGGTGAAGATCTTGGTGGTGGCAGCAGTGATGGCAGGGTATTACAAAGTGGAAATGGAGGGCTTTAAAAGGAGAGACACTAAGCTCTTCATGTGCTCTCCTTTTAAAGCCCTCCAAACCATGCCCATGACCACCATTTTCAATCCATTCACTACTGCAAGGTCCTACAGTCCAATTGCCTCTTCAAGGCCCCACCTTTCAATTACCATAATAGGATTTCCCAACCTCTTAGCACTGTCACAGTGGGGGGGAGGTGGGGATGGAGTCAAGTTTTGGGGGACACTCAATGCAAGGAACCACTTAATAAGCCAATTTAAACTGAATTATTAGTGATGGATAAGGATTAGTCCTAGGACTCTCTGAGATCTCTACACTTTGAGGAGAGGTTCTCAGAAAGTCAATGGCTTAAATTAAAGTTCTGGTTGAATGGTGAAATCCTTAGGGACTGTGAAGATAGCTGTGTAGAAAGGAGTTCCTTTGAGAAAGACTCATGAAATCTCATAAGGTGATCTCCTTCTTTGCATATTCTTTAATTCATTAGTCTTCTTTAGTACTGTCCCTGAGAATGTTTCAGGGGATCCACATAATCAAAATTATTGTCATAATAACACCTATACCTTTTTTACCTTTTCACACTCATTCTCTCACAAGTGTGCTGTGGAGTTTTCCAGAAGCTATATGATATATAATGTTGGCATTCTGACAGCAATTATGATGTATGCTTGTATATTTTTGTTTTCACAATTTATCAGTTTTAATTTCAAATACAATAAATATCAACAGACATAAATCACTTTACAAAAAAGCTCTTTGGGGTCCTTAATAATGTTTTTATGTGCATAAAGGGTTACTGAGACCAAAATGTTTGAGAACTGCTACATTAAGTTGTCCTTCCTGATTTAGCACCAAATCAGCGGAGATACCAGAAATATAGCAAAATACAGGATAGTGATTCCTACTAAATTCAAAACTGTGTGAGCTAGCTAATCAGTTTGCAAAGGCTGGTATCTAAATACAAAATCAAAAGAGTACATAACATACGAGTGTAAGGAAGTGCTCCCAAACTGGTGGGATCATGTCAAAAGGACCCAGGTGCCAACTTGAAGAGCTCCCACTGGCCAGACCAGCGACATCTGATTTGTGATTTTGAGATTAATCAGAAACATCAACTATATCTTGTAGGTGGTGGGAGATAGTGGGGAGGGTTTCACATACAGAGGGAAAAATACAAGGATTATCATTTACTTCCACATTTCTCAAGAGAATATTATAAACCAAATATTTAGAGTTGACACTTTAATTGTTCAGTATTTTACTACAAATATAAGAATAATACAGAATTAAATAACACATGAAAAGTTTGCTAAATATAAATATCCAATTCAACAGTGAAAACAACTTACATTTTAATTCCTAGGTCACTGGATAGAGACAGACAAAGCAAAAGATACCGAAAAAGCCACTAATTTAGTCTTACAGTTATTTAAGATTAATTATTGTTCCACTAGTTAGAACAATATCTTTAGAACAGAGGGATATTATGCTCATCTTTGTCTCTTCAGCTATTATGAAAAATTAAGTCATGGGAAAAAAAGCCAGGAGAGACAAAGCATATGAATCGGCTGACTGCTATACAGGGAGTCTGCTAAATATCTGTTTTTCATGATGTATTTCTATTATACTTAGGTTGAATTCAGAATGACCTAAAGCAGTGCTGGGTTGTATTATGAGACAAACAGACAGGGAAAGCATGCTTTTTTAAAAATGTGACCTATTATCTAAGACTAACAATATTTATCCTGCCATAAAAATAAGTGAGTTAAATAGATAAGTTAAGGTTACCAATGTTATTTCACAATAAATTGAGTCATATTTCTGTTATAATAAATCTCACAGAAGTACATGAAGAATCAGCAAAACCGAGGGTTCTAGCGAGGCCCAACTATTAACAAAACAGTAAGCGGGTAGTGGGCTGGATACCAAATGATGGAAAACACACTCATGGAGCTAAGAACAAGAGAAGAACAGGTGTAACATCAAAAGAAAGGCAAAAGGTCGTCTCAGCAAAGTTCTTTGGACCTTTCTGTAATCTTTCTTCTCTCTCTTTTTCACTTCTCCCCCCTCTGCTTACTCCTTTTTTTCCTGGAATTACATCAAGTTTTAGAGCTGAATGGTAAATTATCTGGTCCAACTCCAGTAGACTTCGGATGAGGTTTGAGGTAAAGTGACTCACACAGAGTTCCCACGAGTGGAGCCCAGCTCAGCCAGTGAGCTCAGTGCTCCTGATTCTAAGTCCGTAGCTTTTCAACAGCGCAACACTGCATTGCTTTACAGAGCCAAGTCCTACAACAGACCTGAGAGGTAAAACGACTTCCTCTTGGGACTCAGACAAACAGTGAGTAGCTTAGACGGTAGTGGAAAGTCGTGGGATTCTTAATCCTTTTGGTCCCACCTTTTTTGCTCTTTTAGTTTCCTTGGAGAATGGTCTTTTTTCCTCCGGCTTTCTTCTTGCATCAGATTCAAGTAGACCAGGGAATAACTTTCAAGGTTCTGTGTGATTCCTCTACGGCTCTTGATAAAAGAAAGACCAAGGTATTAACTTTGGGTGTTTGTAATTTCTGCCCTAATAGAATTTAATATAAATAACAGAAGGATTAAGAAACACATAATTTCATTGGAAAAAATAAGGAGGTAGATGTTCCTGACCCAATGATGTGAGGGAATTATGACTCTCCTTAAAAGGACATAGGTAAGTGCAGGAAATAATGGTTTGGAGAATCACCTACAACTACAAGTAAAGAAACATGTTCAAGAATTCCAAATGATCTAAATGTATTTTATTTATAAGGCTTTGAGTAATGATGAACAAGCTAATTATCCTGATTTGATCATCACACATTGTACAGATATAAATATTCAACTATGTACCCCACAAATATATATAATCAATTATGTTTCAATTAAAAAAAAAAGACCTTGAGCTTTGTTTTCGATGGGTGCTAGCTTGTTGAACATAAGGTTGGGAATGATCATAGACAGAGGCCTTTTCAAGGGCTTCTGGCTTTCTAGCATATAAACTGGGAGGATGTGGGCTTCCCTACAAGGCATGTAGATAAGTGAAGTAAAAGACCCAGAATTTTATCTTGGCACCACCTGCATAATCTAAAACGACACTATGTGTGTCATCTTAGGTAATTCTTTACCAGAATCTGCAAAGTTCTGCATATTTTAGATCCTGTCAATATTTCCAACATCCGATGTCAGTGGTCCACGGGAGGACCATTTTTTTCCCCCATTGTGGCTCAATACTGTTAAAAGATATAATAAAAATAAAAATAAATTACTGTAAAAATAAAATAAAGTAACAGATATATATAATGTAATTCATTTTTAATTATTGGATTCAACAGACATAAAATTACTCTGAATGGGCAACCATCTCAGACCATACTTTGCCTAACAATGCTCTAAAATATTAATGACTTCTGGGCCGGCCCGGTGGCGCTCCCTCCCGAGGGTTCGGATCCCACATACAGACCGGTTCCCGCTCACTGGCTGAGCGAGGCGCGGGAGCAACGCCGAGGGTTGTGATCCCGTTGCCGGTCCCCGGTCCGGTACGGGGGCAACACTGAGGGTTGCGATCCGTTGCCGGACACGGAAAAAGACAAAAGACAAAAAAAAAAAAATATTAATGACTTCTCTGCCTTAGAGCTTTCATACTTACAATTCTTTAGCTAGAAGCTACTCCTCCCTTCTCTTCTCCAAGGCTGGCTTATTCTGTCCTTTCAGGTTTCTGATTAAACGTCATCACCTCAAAGAAGCCTTCCCTAACAGATTCCAAATAAATAGTCTCCTCTTCAAGTTATTTTCTTTCATTGCATGCTATAGATTATATTATTTCCTCATGAATACATTCCCATGTTTTAATAGTACATACTATTTGCTGATTCACTCCTTGTTTCTCTACCTTGCTGGACTGAAATCTCCATCAGAATGGCAGTGTCCTCTTTTGTTCACTGTAATGTAACCAGTGCTAATTACAAGGCCAGGTTTGTGAAAAATTATTAATAAATATTTGTAAAATCAATAAATGGATGAATGAACGTAACTTCCGTGAGCTTTAGTTTCATCTTGTAAGATGGAAATAAGAATAAATTCTTCATTTGCTGTGAAAATTAAATGTAATAACTTCTAGAAAGTCTAGTCCTTTTGTCCTAAGAACATTCATTTAAATAGTTAAGAACACTTTCCATGTCCTTCTTTCATCCCTAGCACATTCCCAATTCCAAAGTTTTCTCTTTTGAAATCTAAGCATCCCCTCCTGCCCAGAGGTCAGACTATTCCTTTTGAACTACCAATTAGCAATAACAGAATTTACTATTTTTTATATGACCTAACTACTGACTGGAATCCAGAATAATAATCCAAGTGATAACATGGTTTTCTTGAGCACTAACTAGGTAGAGAGCACTAGAATAAGGTTTTGTCGTTGTCATTATTGTTGTTGTTGTTTTAAATCTCTTCAACCTAATTTTGAATAATTGCTTGATTTTGTATCTGGTCCAAAAAAGGTTTATTATTTCTCTAAAACAAAGTTTCTATATCAAACATATCTATTCCCTACCTTCCCCCTCATTCCCCCACAAATAATCATGCTTTAGATTCACAGCTCTTGCTGAAACAGAATCTTTCAGGATTCTTTGGTACTACAGAATGCCTGAGGACCTCTTGAAGTACCTGCTAATTTGCAAAAACCCAGGACACACCTAGAGACTCTGATTCTTTGTTTTTTCAGGTGGTCCAGGAAAATCTTTTATTGGGGGGGGGGTCATCTATGAACTAATGTAATGAGAAAACAGAAACTACAAGGTTTGTTTAAGACACATAGAATAAAGGGTAAAGAAACTGTTTAGTGGCGAGATGAGAGAACAGCCAAATCATAGTAAGGACAGGAGAAATTATGTGGAAACTCCATGAGTCAGTGCTGCCAGGCAGTCTAGAGCAGCTTTCGATCTACAGTCATCTTCAGGTAGCTGCTCTTCCTGACATCTGGCAGTTTAGTTTCCTGAAAACCCATTCACACACATCCGTATTATGTAACAGTCCTCTCTCTACCCCGTGACTTAGGACTTATGCTAACTTTAGTCAGCAACTGCTCTTTTCACCCTCCAAAAACAACCTTCTAACCAAAATAGTTTCTCTTCTTCAAAAAGAAAAAAAATAAGATTACAATGTCAAGAAATCAATTTTAGGCATCACACGTTCATTTCAGTACACATAGGCTTTTTGGTACATCTACTTTCTTTTCTTTTTTTTTTTTAATTGAAACACAATTGGTACATATATTTTCTGATCCTATCTTCCCACTAGGCTTATCTTCACTCCAAACTTCTCCCAAGATTGTTACTGAAATGACTTACATGTGTTTTTCTCCTTTCCAAATACTCCTGCCCATGAGTACAAACAAATTCAGAGAACTTCTAAAATTTTCTTCCCCAAAGCCTACCTTTCTGCTACTATCCTCACGTCTTCCCATCCACTTACCTCTTAAAACTTGCCCTTCCTTCAACATTTGTACAATACATGAATAAATAAATACACATTAATAAAACCAAAAGAGACCTTAGGTTTAGTAATGATAGGAACTAACATTTATTGGAAACATACTATGTTGCATTAGTGTGCTGGAGACCTATTGATCCACATCGATGGTTAAATTATCTAAATTGTCAGTAGCTTGAAATCCACCATGGTGGGAATATGCACACCACAGAAGTTTGCAAAAGCTATAGGCACTCCACTCCCTCTCCCCCAAGCCAGTTTCTCAGCATACCATTGGTTTTAAGCACTTTTCTGAGCACTTGCATGTATTCCCTTTTAAATCTTCACAACATTTTCATGAGATAGTTACAATTATTATCCCCATCTTATCAAATGAGGGAAGAGAGGCACAGGGAATTAAATGGCTTGCCCAAAGTTACTCAGCTAATTTGTAAAGAGACGAGACTTGATCAAAATCATCGATTAATTGGACATAGTTGCTAATAAAAATAATAACTGATTGGAAAACAATCAAGTCTCTATGTTATTTACAATCATCCTGGTCAGGATTGACAGTCAAAAACTTTTAACTCCTGAAGGCAAAGATATTTTTGTAGAAAAAAGATATTATATTCAATTTTTCAATTATTTCATTCAGGCTTGCTTAAGATTAAAAGAATTTCATTTAGAAGGAATACATTCAAGAAACATATTGAACAACATGGTGACTTTAGCTAATAACAATTTATAGTATACTTAAAAACTGCTGAGTGAGTAGATTTTAAGTGTTCTCACCACAAAAAATAAGCATATGAGGGAATGCATGTTAATTAGTGCAATTCATTCATTCCACAATGTATACATATATCCAAACATCATGTTGTACACCATAAATATGAACAATTTTTACTTGTCAATTAAAAAATAAATTAAAAATAATAAAATAAAAATTAATAATAAACAATATTTTTTTTAAAGATTAAAAGATGCTATTGTATACAAGTTCCAAAGGTATTTGATGAGAAATCTTTAAATGACTTTCAAAATTCAAGCCTAGACTTTTCTCTTTGTTGTATAAATATGAGAGAATGTTGGAGAACTTACAAACCAGAGACCACAGAGATTCTTAGAATTAGGAGAATTGACAAGCCATCATGAAATTCTATCTAGTTTGTTTACTGAGAAGCAAGAGGCTGTCTTGTGATTGTTTCCCATTCATAGAAGCTTCAATAATTGTCTCTGATAAAATATAGGATTTAACACTGAAGTTGTGATTTTTGCAAAATTTGTCTTGCATGTTTGTATTACAAAATCTCAATTGTTCACTATTCACTAGAGGAAATTGTATTTTTTTACAGTATAATTGCTATGACACTAAATTTATTCATATAAATTGTACTGAACACCCTGAGACTTTTATTTCCTAATTTATTTTTTATATTTCTAGCAATTTTTCCACCTGATATATTTAGTCAAATATATATTTTTCAGCTCTGTTAAAAAAAGCACTGTTAGTGAAAGAACTACTCTACTGCATATAAGCTGTTGAAATCAATTTGGATCTATAAATAAGGATTTTAAAGAATTCTAAGAATGATATTAAAAATATTGGGGCTCCTATAATCTACATGAGCCTCATAACATGAGTCTGCAAGTACTAGGGACTCAGAAATCCCCATTTTAATGAGTTACGATAAATGGGGAAAGACCAATTTGGCCATGCCTAACATCACTACTTGCACACAGTGATAATATAATTTTCCCACATTAATCTTCCACAGAGAGTCCAGTGAACTTTGCCTATGACTAAGATATTAAAGGACGTCAGAACTGCTTGCCTCTGTGAGGGGTAGGAGCAGAGAGAATCGGGAAATACACATGACCTGAGATTCCAATTTAAAAGCAAAAAGGAACCTTAGTATTTGTAATATTACAGTTAGTGATGGTTAGAAAAAGAGAGAAAGCAGAAGTAATGTCTTTGCATCATTGACTTGAGAGACAAACTGTAATCTTAAAAAATCTAAAAAAATGAAGTCTTGCCTGGTTGGAAGGAGATGGGACATGGGTGGAAAAACCCAAGTAACACAGTCAGAGGTTTTGACCGGGTTCTCATGTTCTTTGTTATAGAGTTACCATGAACAAAGCTAAGGCTGTGGAATTACACATATCAAATGCTTGTACTAGGAGGTCAGTTAACAGCTGTTCTCCTACCCAACTCATTCCCACCCCCTTAGCATTTGCAGTGGCATAGTAATAGCCCCCCAAAGATGTCCACATCCTAATTCTAGGAACCTGTGACCATGTTATTCTTACATGGCAAAAGGGATTTTGATGATGTGATTAAATTAAGGATCCTGAGGTGGAGAGATTATCCTGGACTATACAGGTGCACCCAATATAATCACAGGAGTCCTGAGAAGGGAAAGAGCAAGCCAGGAAAGTCAGTGTTCAATGTGAGAGAGACTCAGTGGGCCACTGCTGACTTGGAAGGCAGAAGGGGGCCAAGAGGAAAGGAATGTGAGTGGTCTCTAGAAGCTGGAAAAGGAAAGAAAAAGGGTTCTCCATAGGGCTTCAATAAAGGGATGCAGCCCCAAAGACACCTTAGTTTTAGCTTAATGAGGTCCATGTTGGACTTCTGACCTCCAGAATTGTAGGATAATAAATGTGTGCTGTCTTAAGACACTAAGTTTGTGATCATTTGGTAAAGAAGCAATGAAAAAATAGTACATCATTTATGATGTTTCCCCCTCAGTTAAGTCATGTTGAGCACTTTAATAAAGAGACCTAATTTTTTCCAGTTTAAAGATTATAAAGTTGGCTTCTGGGCATGACTATACTGCTGAAGCACGTGACAACCCAAACAAAACAACTGGTAACAGACTCTAGATAAAGTACATACACAAGCTAAAATGCAAAAGGAGCAGAGACATTGGAGGATTGTTCAGCTGGAGGAGTTTTCATCCTTCTTTTTACGTTAATTATTCTAACAGATTGCACTAATGCTGACAGCTAATCTCCTTAAAACAATCCATGGCCAAAAAGCCAAGGAAACGAGTGTGTCGTCTGAAGATTGAACTGGCATCTAATTGCTGGGCAGGAGACTGAGATGTCTTGACTGCTGGAGGTATACCCCACCCATAGATTGAAATTCAAAATTTGGGTCATCTAAGCCCACATGGGTTTATGTGTCAGAGAGGATAACAGCAAAGAACAGCTCCAGTCAAGAATGTTCAGGCTTTAAGGGTCTGCTAGCTAAGGACTTTGTGATCAGATAGGTGACATTTGTACCCATGAGAAAAATTTTTGCAGAGAAATAGTCATGGAATGCAAGAATCCTCCCAGCAATGTTGACCTAGGCAGTTCAATAAAGGTTCCCTATAGCTTTTCTCACATAATGCATCATAATTATTCTTCCTGGAACTATGAGGATACTGGGTGGGGGCGGGGATTACCCTTCATCCAGCCTTTTTCTGGGAAGCATAAGTACAATTATTTAGCACAGCAAGGATTCTTATTTTGGGGGGAACAAATACTCTTTGTATTGTCCTTCCAACTAATAACCAATTTCACCATCACAAATTTTGTATTGAACATCTTTCTTGTTTGACACAGTACTAAGTTTAAAATAGAGGAAAGTGACATGCTCCCACCTAGGAAATAGTGTTTTACTAACATTGTCATTGTCACATTGCTAAGAACCCATTCATAGGTTAGATTACTGTGAAGTGAAGAAAATCAAGGTAAATAGACAGATCATGTGAAATGACTAGTACTTGAAGAAAAAATGCAGTTTAAAATTATGCATTTCACATGATTGTCTAAATGTTCTAAAATGTTTTCCAACTCAGCCTTGACTCAAGCAGACAAAACTAAAGAAAATGGATACTCAGAAATAAAGATTTATACAAATTAGGTGATTTCTATGATGCTCTACTCCAAAGTGAAGATTCTTTTTGAGAAACGTAATTATTGGTGGGTTGACTAATGAGAAACAGAAGTTTATTCTCAAATTCAAATTTAACTTCGTTGTTCTATATGTGGAAAGGACAAATTTATGACATCACTGGGTTTTAACAGAAAGAACTATTATGAGATGGTGGAAAATTTCCCTAGGAAATTTTAATTCTTCTTTACTTTCTATTTCAGTAATAAAGCACTGGATTCATGAAAGATAAAAGAATATTTTTTGAATGCTTATTAGTCTTATTGTGGTAGTCTCCTGGAAGTAACTATGATGATACCATCAGGAATGGTGAAGAGAAACAGCCTGCAGCTCATCAGACCTTCTTCCAGAGTGCAGCTTTACAGTTGAAAAAACCAATCATGCTCGCTGGCATCATACAGAATCACAAGAAAAGTAAAAGAAGTCTAACTTCTATGTCAAAATAACATCAGTCATTAGGATTACCCCTCTGTGCAGAAACTCTAAGTTTGTTTTCACTTTTGTAGGCAATGAATAATGATCATGATCTAAAAATAAACTTTTTTTTTTTTTTCATCTTTTTTCGTGACCGGCAACGGGATCGCAACCCTCGGTGTTGCGCCCGTACCTCGCTCAGCCAGTGAGCGGCCAGTCTGTATGTGGGATCCAAACCCTCGGCGGGAGCGCCACCGTGCTCCCAAGCGGCACACTGTAGCAGTGCGCCACCAGGCTGGCCCTAAAAATAAACTTTTTTCATTCAACAAAGAGTTGACCTTACTTAACACACTTACCTTACTTACCAGACTTTTTCTCACTGGCCATTGGGAAGCTTCACAGAGATAATTTTTTGCCTGCTCACACTCTATAAATTCAATAACTAATTCATCTCCATTTTCTTCTTTAAGCAAGAAGGGTAAGCAAAAATGGAAGGCAAATGTATACGGCAATTTCCTTTCCTCACAATTTAACCATCAGAATTTGATACTTGAAGAAATACAAAGTGTCACTCTCTTCTATGATTTTCTTCTCTTTCTCTCAACTTTCTGTATAACTTAAGGCTTGGTCTTAATGAGCCAGTATTTCCTTAGGCCTAAGCATTTAAACCTTCCACATACTTGACACTTGGCTTTACCAGCTGTAAGTATATGGAACCAAATTATCTGACTGTTAACATTTTTGAAACCAGTCAAAAATCCAGTCATTCAAAACATGTCACTGAACATTCAGAGCAAATAACTAACTTGGTGGTATGTCATGAAGACATCGTCAGTAAATGGCAATCCTAGTGCTTACGAAATTCAGCACAGGTTCAGGTATCCATTTCATAAATGAGGAAAAACTTTGGCACAGAGATAAGCTGACTTTGCTTCAAGAATTGAATAAGACATTAAGCAGTTATATTTCCCAGAAAATCCAAGACTTGCTTAATGACCAAAGGTTAATTATTTTGCAAATGTCCCTTTCTAGAGGAATTATCTTGGGCTTGAGTAGATTGTATTGTAAAGCTCTTGTCCAAGTGGGACTTTCAAATACATTTGAGTACTTTATACTTTTCTGCTTGCATTTTTCAAAAGGATAGGCAGTGACAGTAAGCACAGATTAAAATGAATGCAACTAATAACAATAGCTCTGTTCAAGTCAGATTCCAGGGCATCAGCAATGACTGGAAGAACATTCCAGCAGAGGTCAGGAGACCAAGGCTCTAGACCTACCCTGCTGTTAAGGAGCTGTATGACTTTAGGGAAAGAAGTCAACTGCCATCTCTGAGCTTCAGTTTCCAAACTGGAAAAATAAAATGTTTGGGTAAATAAGACTCCAACAGACTTTTGCCTTTGACATTCTGTGGGGTGCTTATGAGTTTTATGGGCTTTATGTCTATGTCTAACAGCATCAGATCTGTAATCTCCTCTCTGGAACAGAACAAACACCTCCACCTTCTTTTGCCAAAGGGCCACTGACACTGAAGATTTGTTGCTTGTTTTGTAAATTCACAGGAATTAATATGATGTTTACATCCGGCTTATGCAAAATAGTCAAAAAACCTAGAACATACAAAGGTACTTCAAAAAGTTCATGGAGAGATTCGTATTATCTTTTAATTCTACTTTTTCATGAACTTTCCGAAGTACCCTTGTAAAAGAGATAGTTTATAAAACATGAAATAAAAAGAAGAAAAGGTAGTATTTGAGTGAGATTTTTAATCAAAATCTAAAATAACACTCAAAGCCAACATATTTCCTCCCCTGACTCCTATCCTTCAATCATCTTAGATGGAGGGAACTCCCATATTACCCCTTCACCTTAGGGAATTCCCATTACACAAAACAAACTGAAGCTTTGTATTCACTTTAATAAGTTATGTCCTGTCTTCAGAAACCAAAGAAATATTTGATTTTCTCTCTGTAAAGAATTCACTCCTCTTGTTTTGTCCTGTAGTATCTTAGACTTGGCATTTAAGAGGTACTGGATTTACAATAGAAGAATTGAAAAAAAAACTTTGAAAATCTATCCATCCATTCAATCATTCATTCACTCATCATTCATTCATTCATCACTCATTCATTCAACAGAAGAACACTTATTGAGCAGCTGGTATATATAAGATGCTCTGATAGATGCTGTGGAAGATAAAAAGAGAGGTACAGTCTAGAAAGGCAGAATGACATGACACAGCTACTACAAGTATGGATCACCTATATGTTGCCAATAGTGTGTGAGACATCGTGGGAATATAACATATAAAGTGCTACTTAATGAGTGATCATATTGGACAATTTCACAGTCTCTTAATTGGGCAGCTCGCCTGTGGAATGCTGTAAAAAGAGAAGTGATTGTCTTTCTCATTAGTGGGTAGGGAAGACCCTGCACGGTGCCATTCTTTCTTTGGTTCTGCCATCAAATGATTCCATTATAATCAGGTAAACATTTTCCGCATTTCCTCTTATTAATCCTTCCACTCAACTCATAAAATTATTAGCCTTTAAGCCATCTTAGCAAATGAAAAGCAGAAATGTTGGATTTAAATGTCTAATTGCAAGAAAATGAAGAATTTTGAACTGCATTGACATTTATCTATTTTGGAAACAACAGACAAAACACACTGTGGCCATTCCATTATTTATATCTTCAGATGACCTCCAAATTGTCATTAAAAAATCATTTAACTTGTTTCATTCTTTGTACTCCCTGTGATGACTCACCTCGATCCTGATTCCGGTGACGTTTCCAGTATAATAGGATTGAGATTAGGACCAGAAGAATTACCAGGGAAACAATGCTCAACAATAGCGGCACTGAAAACCAATAACCTAATAGATATTGAAGGCAGAAAAAGGAAAATGAAGTCACAAGAGGAAACTGTCGAGGCCAAAAGTAGTAAAGCAATAGTTATTAAGAGTTTTTACTTGAGTTGAGCTTTCAATTAAAATTATCCTTAAATACATACATATTGAGGTCTATATACATGATTTCATATTATTTTAATAACAATTAGATTGCATTAGTAATAACTAACAGGCTTTATGTGATTACTACATAATAAGAGCTCTAAATGTGCGATCTCATTTAATCCTTAAAGCATCCCATGAGGTATTATTATTATTATTTTTATATAACAGATTAAAAAAAACCTGAGGCTCAGAGAAGTGGGCTCAAAATCAGGGCAGTAAATGGGTGGGTCAAGGCTTGGTCAAAAGTCTGTTTGCCTCCAAAGCACATATTCTTTGCTATATTATCCATCAAAGTAATATATGTTTATTGTGGAAATTTTGAAAAAAATACAGAGAAGTAAATAGAAAAAAAACATGAATCTCATGATCTCAGCCCCGAGAAATAACCCATCTAAATGTTTTTATTGTATTTCTTCTCTATGTCTTTGTTATTAAATCTCTTTTCAGTACTCAATAAATCAGCTCAGCCTAAATATCAGCTCCTCAGTGCCACTTTGTAATAAAAAGGCAGAAAAAAATGCTCCCTGATTGGGGAATCTCCAGCATCTTCTCCATTAGCTCCATAATGGAATTTGTCACAATTTATTTTATTTTATTTTTTTCTTGTCACATTACAATTTAACTGAGCACCATCAGACAGGAATTTGTCTAATATCTATAGTTCTAGTGCTTGGCATAATGCTTTGAGCATGGAATATTTTTGGTAAATGGTCACAGAATTAACAAATATTATACAAATGATATATAAACATAAATGGTATGTCAAATTTGACATTCTCAGGAGAGAAGACATGTTCCTTTTCTTGTTTTTCTGGAAAATTTTCCTTTTGCCTTGTCTAAATCTGAGAATCTCTTTACAAATATCCAAATCCAACACATCAAGCCTTTTTGACCATATTTACCTAAATATCCACTTTCGAGTTAGTCTGGGTTTTCAGGGACCCCAGAAATGCCTACAGGAGATGTTCCCTAGGAGATTCGGCCACTGCACGAATAAGGCATGCCTAGAAAAGCTTTTCCAGATTTTATTGTTCAAAAGGAGCAGAAATATTTTTTAGGAGGCTTATTACTGAGTGCTTCAACCACTGTTAGTGCTTCAGAACTACATAGAAAAAGAAAACTGTGGCTATCGCTAAAACTTGTCCCTAAAATCACTGCTGCCTTTATTCTCTCACCAATAATTCTCACCTCTTGTATTTGCAAGGCCCAGAGACAGTAGTTTAGATAGAAACACAAGAGAACAAAAGGAGACTTGAATGGGAAACAGTTTGCATTAAAAAAGGTGATTCATATCAGCCCCTTTCCCACAGTGGAGATTTTACAGATACTTCGTCATAGATGTCACTTCTTCCGGGAAATTCCCCCCCAGACTGAGCTGATGCCCCTCCTCCCACACCTCCAATCCTTTCATGGTGCATGTAGCTTTCTTTTTGAAGCATTTAACATGCAGTTTTACAATTGCCCAGCCACTTCTCTGTATTTCCTAGTAGACTAGAAGCTCTCTAAGTGCAGGGACTGAGTTTTCTCCTCATTATTTTATTTTTCATGCTCAACCCAAAGTTTGGAGCACAACAGGCACTCAGTAAGTGTTATTAGAATAGAAGAAATAAATGAATGAATGGATCTCAGCAACAATATTTGGTATGTGGCAATGTGCCACTTTCACCAAAGTCAACCTTGCTTTATTTGCTTTCTTAACTCTGTTTTTCTTTCCTTACTTACTCCGTTCTCTCCTTACTTAGCGCTTTTGCTAATAGGCTGAAAGTCTCTGCGGACATTCACTATTTTCCACATGTGTGAACACAGACGCAACCACAGCCATCTTTGCCCTTTCTCTTACCTTTGTTCACGGTTTGCCTGAAGTTGGACACAGTCCCCAGGTGCAGCACCTGGCAGATCACCTCCTTCCCCACCTGACTCTTGGGGTCTTTGACTTGGAGGATGCTGGTGACAGATGTGGTCCCATTTGGGTGTGAGAGACTCTCAGTACTATTCTCAATCCCTGACCCAGCAACCTTCCAGGAGATCACGGGGGCTGGGCGGGCAGTGGCGGAGCAGGTGATATTTAGGTTGTCTTCAGAGAGTTTGTAGTGAAGGAATACTGTGGGCTGTACTGGGACAAAAAAAAAATTGATCTGCCGTCAGTTAAGCACCTGGTCTGAGTCCTGCACTCTCTTCAGAGAGATGAGGGGAAGATCCTTACAGAAAGATGGTGGGGGCTAGAAAGACAAGGTGACACACCCCACCCCAACAGGGGTCTTCCCAGTTCTTCCTTCTCTAATTCTCTGACCTGCGGGATGGAGATTGGCCTAGTATAAACCTATGATGAGAAGACAAGACTCTCTCTGTAGTATGTCTCAAGCAGAATTAACCGGGTGGACAGAGGGTACTGAGAAGTCAGATGATACTCTTCTCTCTCTAACAGTCCAAAGCCTAGTTATTCTGTTTTTCTCTTCCACGGGCAATGCAGCATCTCTGCCTTCTTCTGGGTATTCCTCTCAAATAGTTTGACAATAACCCCCAATCAGCACCTCCATACATGTAGCCTGCACTGATCAGAAGCACCAGGGCAGTTTCAGAACACAGCCCATACAGGGGCTGCTGCTTACAGACAGCCATTTTCTGTTTGGAGCTGGACCAATGAATCATGAGATGCACAGAGGAGACTTGGAAAGTCCCTGTTTGGAAGATCTACACAAATGAAAAGTAGAAATGCATAGCCAATAACCAGAAAAATCAAAGAATGACAGCTGGAAGAACCTTGGAGATCACCTGATGAAGTAAAAAGAAAATAGCTTATGAGAAACAGACATTATTTTCAGGCCAGCTGTAGCCTGTTCCCTTTTAGAAGTCCCCTGACTGAGTTCATTTTTGTTGGAACATTGAATTTACCTCTGCCAAGCAAATGCAGACTTGTCTCTGTGGTTGTCTTTGGAGCACACTAGACCATTAAAGGGCAAAGCTAACTGAAAGCCTGGTCTCTGCTTATAGGGTCAAGCGTTGGGTGGATGACCATGAGCTGGGGGGTGGGGTGGGGGTGGGGGGCTACCGAACTGTGGCTCTGTCTAAAGAGTGCCCAGATTGCTAACATCAGCAAGCACTGGAGGGAGAGTGATAAAAGTGAAGGAAGAGGAGTACAGTTGCACGGCCAGAGTGGGTGTCAGGTGTATCAAAGAATAGCTTAGATAAAAGCTATAAGGTGTGGCTGCGAAGGGTCAGTGTGGAAGACAACAGGATTACTTGCTAGAAGACTCAGACAAGTCTGGTTCTTAGGTGAAAAATAATACAAAAGATTACAAGAAGGGTGAGTATGAGGAAAAAAATGAGAGAAGAGGAAGAGAAAAAAATGGAACAGAAATGAGAAAAGTAAGACTTAAGAAGGAAAAAGAATAAAAGTGAGATAAGAGGACATGGTAGGAAAGGGGGGAGGGAGAGAGGAAGGGAAAGGGGAAGAGAGAGAGACAGACCAAGAGACAGACACAGACACACGGAGAGAATGAAAGAAGTGGAAATCAACAAGAAAGCCTGACATAAGATTCAGCAGAGAGGACTCATCACAGGAAAAATAAATGAAAGAAACATGTATTTGGTGCTGTCATACCTTCCTTGCATTCTTACCCACTGAACCTCCTCTTCCCCCATGGCCAGTATTCCTGATGTGCTTAAACTCTCACTTTAATATTCCTAATAACCTAAGTTTGTCTTCTTGTTCCTAAAACCACCATCAAGTGTGCCATGCCCCCAAGTTACCCCTTATTCCCACTTCCTAAACCTTCATCTCAGCTATGTGTCAGTTGAGAGGAAAGGAATCTCATCAAACTAAGCCTCCTGGATTTTTTTTTTTTTGGCAGTTATTTCAATTCAGGCTTTATTAAAGTTGTTTCTGAATTTTACATTTCATCCTTGGCTTTCCCCAGTTGATATTGCTTGTGTTTCAAGAATCTTTCATCAATTATCAAATCCTTTGCCGTGAATGAGAGCACCAAATACCTTCTATAAATATCAAACTGGCTGATTCTTTTATGGCAGTAAGGAAATTCAGTAAAAGATTTGTAGGATACAAGTACTACAACTCCAAGATCCCCCTCAACAAGCAAGCCAGAGCTTCCTTACACATCATATTCAAGCCAATGTCTTTTCACTTTATCATAAAGATGAAAATTATGAGCACTGACACAATTTTCTTGCTCTTTCAGTCTAAAAATATGGGTTTCTTGTGGTGTGATTAATGAAAGACCAGAAACTTGAAGGAAAATAAGTCACTGAAAGATTAGCTTACAAAGTTTTTATAATTGTTACTTAACCAGTCTTCCCCTTTCTCTAGACTTAGGCAGCTATAAAAAATAGGAAGAACAATATGCATAATAAAAAAACAATAAAAATAAATATCTGAGGGCCCACTGTAGTAGGCAATTTACACATTTCACTTAATACTTACAATATTGTGAGAGAATTATTATAAGCATTTTACAAATAAGAAAACAGGCTCAGAAGTGTGAAAAGACCGGTGCCCAAAGTCACACAGTGACTGAGCTGGGATTTATGCTCTAGTCTATACCTACCAAGCCTATGCTCCATTATGCTGTTCTGGCTCCCTAAAGCACTTCGACTTGAGATTCCTATTATTTTAGCTTCTTCTTTTAATTCTAAATTCACACTGTTAAAGTGTGCAAAACTACTGAATAATAGGAGAACCTAAAATTATTTTCAATCTACTTGCAAAAACGGGAGGTGGAAAGAAGTATTGGAAAACTCTTTAGGTAATGAGAACATTCCATACCTAAAATTATGGTTAATTCTTTTTTTTTTTTGTCCTTTTTGAGACCGGCCGCACCGCGCTCAGCCAGTGAGCGCTGTGAGCGCACCGGTCATCCCTATATAGGATCCGAACCCGCCGCGGGAGTGCTGCACTCTCCCAAGTGCGCCATGGGCTCGGCCCAAATTATGGTTAATTCTAATTCACTGGTACTGATACCTAGTAATCCAAAAACATACAAAGGTACTTATAAATTGTGCATTTTCTTCTTGTCATCATCTGTCAATCTCACAGGAATGAAGGCAAGAAAGGACAAATTCCTATTGTAAAATTTGACTGCTTATTAAATTTACAGTATGCACTTAGCAGAATGCCAAAAAGAGGTCTGGTTTCAAAGTCTTACCACCAGTCTTTTGATTGCATTTTAAAAGTGCGCGTTTACTCGTTTTTTTTTTTTGTTTGTTTAAATCTCACAGAGATGTTAGGGGCCACTGGTGGATGGCTTTATTGATACATGTCTGTGTAGCACTTAGAATTATCTATTCTGTCTAAGAAGATAACTTTTGCCACCCCACTGAATGGGATCAAAGAGTTACAGTGAAAGTGGATTTATCTCATGGGTAACTAACTGAAGTCTAAACCTATGTGATCTGGACATCTAACGTTTAATCATCCACTAGGGACACATTTGCATATTAATTAATCCTAAACAATTGAAGCTAATATCTAGTTGTTCCTTATTCAAGTACTCACTGAAATTTAGTCACTAGATATTTTTTTCTTTTGAGTCCAGTCCTAAAGAGAAAGGTTAGATTAGATCATTAAAACCTCTTCTAACATTAAAATATCCAGAAATCACCTCCTTTCTAAAGTTTGACTGATGTATCATTCATTTATTAAATCATTTACTAGACAAATATTTTACAGGACACCAGCTATAAACAAGACTGAAAACACACACACACACACACACACACACACACACACACACACACACAGGTGTCCACTAACTTTAGAAAGATAACACATAAAAAAAGAGCTAGATGTTTATACAAATGTGACCTAAGACAGGCACAAAAAATAAAAAATAAAGCTTGTTAATGTGAGAGGTAGTAATTTGTGAGTACCAATTTAAAAAAATCAGCATAACTAAATGAAATGAGAAATCATGGAATTTTTTTCCTGATCACCTCCTCCCCCACAAACTAATAAAGGATCATAAGGCAAATTTGGCAAAGGGGCGGAGGAATTGGGGCTGGTAGAATGAGAAGTTGCAGGTAAATCCTGTATAGAGACCCACTTGGGTCATTAACTACTGCCTCAGTTTGTCAACCTTGTGAATTTTTAAAAAAATGCTTATTATCCAGTTATGTCCCTAGTTGGCATCATTTCAGGTATGAGGAGCCTCTGCTGCATGTACCCTTATCAATCTGGAAAGAGCTACCCTGAAGCAAAGAATGAGCACTGTAACTGACTCCAGGTCAGCCCAATCTGGCTTTGTCCTTAGATCCAAAAGGTTAAAGTTGTAAGGGACCCTAAAGATCATCTATTTCACACTTACCGTCCAGATAAACAAACTCTGGTGCAGAGAGTGGACAAGATCTTTCTTGAGTCACATGACTGTTAATGGCAAAGCCAGGTCTGAATCATACCACTGCTTATAGAAAACTTGTTGCCCTCACCATTGTCCTCAATTTACTCTTTCTGACTGCAGGATCCCTCAGAGAAAAGATAGCCCCAGCCGGAGAACTCAATGTAGCCTCATGAACTCTCCAAATAATCATAACCACAGCTACAGTAGACATGAAATGCTAAGTGTCTTCTCATGAAACTTTCTGGGATTAGGGCCCAAAGAAACCCAGACATTGTAACCGTTTTTCAGACACTCTTGGACATAGTATTTCCACATAGTGACAATATATTCTCAGAGACTCTCACCATAGAGAGTGAGGCAGGCTGTTCCTGAGATCTTCCCAGAACCAAAGGTATTGAAGTGACACATGTAACACCCTTCATCCTCCAAGGTGGTGTTCCAAAAGGTGATGGTTGAGTTCTGGAGTCCCAGCTGAGTGATGTTTATCTTGTCCTTATAGGCAGGCTGGACCACAACCCCATGGTTCTTGCTGAAGGTGACCATGTTTTCTGGGCTTGCAGCCTTCTTTTTCTGCCATGTCACAATCAAGACTTCCTGAGAAGTTTGCAGAGAACATCTTAAGGAAGCAGGTGTGTTCAGCTGCTCTCTTTCATCCTGGGTCACCACTTCCACTACGGAATCACAAAAGAACATTTATATTTTAAAACTTTAATACACACACCACACACACACACACACACACACACACACACACACGCACACACACACAAACGTCTCCCTCATTACAAATACAATAAATACCCAAAGTCAAATATAAAAAGATAAGCAAAGAAGAAAACATCATTTATTTACATTCCCACATGTTGCTAGAGAAATATAGGTTCAAATATGTTTGTTCAGTCTTTGAAAGTAGAGTAGCAGAGTAGAAAAACAAGAAAACACACTCTCAGTGACCATGAACTAGAAAAAACCCTGTAAGCTAGGAAGTAGGTAGAATGAGATGGAAGATGGAATATACTAGGTAGGATAGAAGCATCATCAAGTGTGTTCATGTTTGAAGAGGTAGAGGTGAGGTGCAAGAAAGGGCCAAAGGGAGACTGAATATCATCAAGAAGTCCCCAGGATCACTCTCCCCCACAACTGACCAATTTACAACTATTAAAAAGCAAAGACTGCCAACCCAGGACTGCTGGAGCTAGGTGGAAGAGGAGGAGAGACCTGCAGAGTTTAGCCACTTAGGTAGGAAAAGCTACAGTGAGAGGGAGAAGGGACTACTTTGACCATTTCAAGCCCCAGCCATTTCATGGAGGCTGAGTGAGGGACACAAAGAAGTTGGACGTCATGAATCAGGAGCTTGCGAAAGCTGCAGCTGTAGTCTGTCAACAAGAAGAGGGCCTCTGAGGACACCATACCAGCCCCCAGGCCAACAAAACCACTGTCAGGGTTCCTGTGGACCCACATAGAAGTGAGGCGCCATAGCTGATGAAAGAAAGAAGCCACCCAGGGGCCGATGGGTCATGGTGAGAGACCCATGCACAGCCAGCCCTGCAGGAAATGTATGGAGTGTGGAGAGGAGGCTGGTCCACTGGGGGAATGCTGGAGCTCACCATGAGTAGCTGATCTGCCTTCTAAGTGGCATAGGCCAACTCAGTGGAGAGTGGTTAGGATGCCAGAACTGCAGGGCATGCAATTTGCTGGAAAGACTCAATTCTGGGCTAGAAGTTCTACACAGACCAGGTGTTTATGACCTCACAAGACATGGAACTAATTAAAAGCCTAACAATTAAAAACTGATCTGCACAAAAGTCCTTCCCCAAAGAATCAGCAATAAAGCAGCAATTTAGTGCAACAACAGGGCTCAAGTGTTGGTCCCAACAGGAAGTTCTCTCAATTTTGGAATTAACCAAAGGACAGCAAATTAGTACCAGTACAGAATTTAAGTGGTGGTGGTAGCTAATAATCCAATATAAAATGAAACAACAATAACAACAACAACAACAAAAAAACAAAAACAAAAAAACTAAAACAAAGAAACCCAGAAAACCACAGACCAGAGACAAAGCTCTGATATTAGCCAGTAAAGTTCTAACACCACCAAAGAACACCTAGAAAACCTAGAAGAGGTGGCAGTCTCCTCAAATGCTGAGGCATCCATGTAAAGACACAAAGAGAAATAATGAGAAATACAATGCCATCAAAGGAAACAAAGCACCAGCAATGGATCCAGAGGACCAGTGGATTTATGAGACATCTGACACAGAACTCAGAATAATCTTCTTAAGGATGTTCAGGGAGTCACAAGAAAATACATATAGAAAACAATCCAGGTGCAGAAAGAGAAATCTGACAAAGGAATCTATTTAAAAAAAGTAGAAATTCTAGAAATAAAAAATACATGTTCTGAACTGAAAAACTAGATGGAAAGCTCCAATAGCAACTGAGAAAAAAATCAGTGAGCTCAAAGATAAAACATATGAAATTATAAAATCAGAGGAGCAAAGAGAAAAAAAAAGTAACAAAAAAAAATGAAACAGCTAATATGGATCTCCCTCAAGCAAAATAACATCTGCATGACTAGTGTACCCAAAGGAGAGGAAAAAGAAAAGATGTAGAAATCATATTCAAGGAAATAATGGCTAAAATTTCCCCAAGTATGGAGAAAGATGGCAGCATACAGGTACGGGAAGCTCAATGGTTGCCAGTCAAATTCAGTCCAAGGAGGAACACCCCAAGGAATATCATAATCAAATTATCAAGAACAAAAGACAGAGAAAGAATACAGAAGACAGCAAGAAAAAAGACATACATAACTTTCAGTGGAGCCCCAATACATCTCTCAGAGGATTTCTCAGCAGAAACCCTGCAGGTCAGAAGAGAATAGGATGATATATTCAGGGTGCTGAAGGACGAAGACTGTCAGCAAAGAATTCTCTATATAGCAAAACTAACCTTCAAATATGAAGGAGAAATAAAGTCTTTCCCAGACAAACAAAACCTAAAGAAATTCATCAGCACCAGACCTGCCTTACAAAAAAATGCTAAACGGGAGTCCCTCAGTCTGAAAGAAGATGATGTTGAGGAGCAGCAAGAAAGCATTTGACGGTACCTAACTCATTAGTAAAGTAAGTTCACAGACAACCTCAGAATACTCCAATGTCACGAGTGTGGTGAATAAACTACTTACATCCTTAGTATGAAGCCTAAAGGACAAACCTAACAAGATGATAAAATATACAAGATCCATATAAGATACGAACAATATTAAAAGATGTAACTTGAAACAACAAATAGTCAAAAAGTGGAGGGAAAAGGGGATGATGCCAAAGCATAGAGTTGGCTTTGGCTTTTTCTTTTTTCTTAGATATCAAAGTTAAGTTGTTACTAGTCTAAAATAATCTGTTATAGCTATAATACTTTTATTGTAAGCCTCAGGGTAACCACAACATAGTGAGAAATTGAAATATACTACTATTGCTAGAGAGAGCCATTCAATCACAGAGGAAGACAGTAAGATCAGAAAAACAGAAAAAAAGGATCAACAAAACAGCCAGGATAAAAGTAACAAAATGGTAGTAACAAGTCCCTATGTATCAATAATAACTCTAAATTTAAATGGTTCAATGCCCCAATAAAAAGACACAGAGTGGCTCAATGAATTATAAAACAAAAAGCAACAATTCGCTGCCTACAAGAAACTTATTTCACCTATCCATACACCAGTGCTCACTTCAGCAGCACATATACTAAAGACACATACTGACTGAAAGTGAAGGAATGGAAAGACATTTCATGCAAATGGAAACCAAAACAGACCACAAAGAAAGGCAGTAATACCAGAAAAAAGAAAAAGTAATGTACAAAACAACCAGGAAAAAAAAAAAATAGCAACACAACTCCCTATATATCAATAACCCTAAATCTAAACGGATTAAGTGCTCCAATTAAAAGACACAGAGTGGTTCCATGGATTATAAAACAAGAACCAATAATATGCTGCCCCTACAAGAAACCACTAAACTGATAAAGACACACACCATCTGAAAGTGAAGAAATGGAAGAAGACACTTCATGCAAAAGGAAACCAAAAAAGAGCAGGAATATCTATTCTTATATCAGATAAAATAGACTTGAGGCCAAGGAAAAAAAAAAAGGATAAGGAAGGTCATTATACAATGATAAAGGGATAGGTTGAACATGAGGATATAAAAAATATAAATATATACACACCCAACTCTGGAGCATCTAGTTATATAAGGCAATATTATTAAACCTAGTGAGAGAAATAGACTCCATGACATTAATAGCTGGGACTTAACACCCTACTTTCAGCAAAGGACAGATCATTCAGACAAAAAAGTAACCAAGTAAGATCAGAATTAATCTCTACTCCAGGCTGATTGGACTAACAGACATATATAGAACATTTCACCCAACAGCTGCAGAATACACATTCTTCTTGGCAGCACATGGGACATTCTCTAGAATAGACTGTGTTAGGACACAAAACAAATCTCAACAAAGTTTTAAAAATTGATATCATATCAACTACCTTATTTGACCACAATTGAATAAAAATAGAAATCAATAACAAATACATGGGACTTAAACACCATGTTCCTAAACAACAAATGGGTCAACAATGAAATCAAAAAAGAAACTAAAAAATTCCTGGAAAGAAATGAAAATGAAAATGCAACATAGCAGAACCTACTGGATATAGCAAAAGCCATTCTAAGAGGGAAGTTTATAGTAAATGCCAACATCAAAAAAGAATAAAGACTTCAAATAAACAACCTAACATTACCCCTCAAGGAACTAGAAAAACAAGAGCAAACCAAACCCAAAATCAGTAGGAGAGAAATAACAAATATCAGAGCAGAAATAAATGAATTAAAGATTAAAAACACAATACAAAAATCGAGGAAACAAAGAGTCAGCTTTTCAGAAAGATAAAATTGATACATCTTTAGCTAGACTAACAAAGGAAAAAAAGAGAGAAGACTCAAATAAATAAAATCAGAAATGAAAAAGAAGACATTACAACTTATACCACAGAAATACAAAGGATGATAACAGACTACTATGAACAACTATGTGAAAACAAACTGGAAAACCTAGAAGAAAATGATAAATTCCAGGACATACAACTTATCAAAGTTAAATCATAAAGAACTAGGAAACCTAAACAGACCAGTAATGAGTAATGAGATTGAAGCAGTAATAAAAAGTTTCCCAACAAAGAAAACCCCAGGACCAGATAGCTTCACTGACAAATTCAACCAAACATTTAAAGAAGACTAATATCAATTCTTCTCAAACTCTTCCAAACAAAGAGAATACTTCCAAACTCATTCAATGAGACTAACATTAATTTTATACCAAAACTGGAAAAAGACACACAAAAAACTACAGACCAGTATCCCTAATGAACACAGATGTGAAGATCCTCAATAAAATACTAGCAAACAGAATCCAACAACACATTAAAAAGATCATTCACCATGACCAAGTGGGATTCACCCCAGGCATGCAAGGAGGCTCAATACATGCAAATCTATAAGTGTGATAGATCACATCAACAGAATGAAGGGAAAAAACATAATCATTTCAATAGATGCAGAAAAGGCATTTGATAAAATCCAGTACGTCTTCATGATAAAAACACTGAACA